TGTGGGCACATCTCCAGTAGGGGGTGTGCAGGAGGCCGCTGATCGATGTTTCTCTCTCATTGATGTTTCTAGCTCTCTATCCCTCTCTCTTCCTCTCTGTAAAAAAAATCAATAAAAATATATTTTTAAAAAATACTGCTTGAATCCCTGCTTTCAATTCTTTTCTTTTTAAAAATTTTATCTTTATTGTTGAAGGTATTACAGATGTTCTTCCCCCTTTCCCCCATTGACCCCCTCCAATCCACTCTTGCTCATCTCAGGCCTTAACCACACAATTGTCTATGTCCATGGGTTATGCATATATAGGTTCCCTAATTAATCTCTCCCCACCCACCCCCCGATCCTGCCTTCCCTCTGAGATTTGTCACCCTGTTCCCTGTTTTTATGTCTCTGGATCTATTTTGTTCATCGTTTATTTTGTTAATTAGATTCCATGTATGAATGAGATCATGTGGTACTTGTCTTTCTCTGACTGACATTTTTAGCTTAGTATAATATTCTTCAGGTAACGCCATGCTGTCTCAAATGGTAAAAGATTCTTTTTTTTTTTTTTTCACTGCTGCACAGTATTATGTAGTCTAAATGTACCACAGTTTTTTAATCCACTCATCTACTTATGGGCACTTGGGCTATTTCCAGATCTTAGCTATTGTAAATTATGCTGCTATGAACATAGGGGTGCATATATTCTTTCTGATTGGTGCTTCAGGTTTCTTAAGATATATTCCTAGAAGTGAGATCACTGGGTCAAAGGCAGTTCCAAATTTAATTTTTTTAGGAAACTCCATACTGTTCTCCACAAAGGCTGCACCAGTCTGCATTCCCACCAGCAGTGAATGAGGGTTCCTTTTTCTCCACATCCTTGCCAGCACTTGTTTGTTGGTTTGTTGATGTTAGCTATTCTGACAGGTCTGAGGTGATACCTCACTGTTGTTTTCATTGGCATAAGGAAGGAGTCACAAATGACTCTTACATCTCTGTTTTGGACAAGTGAACAAAGTGGTGCCAATCACTGGGATAGGGAACAGTCTAAAAAAAGGTCTATTACAGAATCTAGAAGAGTGCTCTGATTAATTGTGCACAGGAAAGTTTAGAATAAACTGGATAGATCTCATGTTCATGAACATCATCTATATCAGGTTCAGACACAACTTAAATCTTAAGAAATTTGAGAATTCTTGTACTCATCACTGTATTCTTTTCCATTTAAAAAACAGCAACTTGATTGTGTACATGACTCTTTAAAAAATTAAATTATACAAGTAACAGTGGCTTTCATAGATTTACTATTTTAGATGAGTTTCCACATGGTATTTTTAAAATATGTACTTATCAGATTTGCAGTTTTCTAGGTGTTGGTAATTACTAGCACTGTACAAAACTGAAGGATTTGTGAAATTATACAATTTAAAATGGATGTGGCTGTATGATAAAGATAATGTTGCCTAATGTAACATATTTATTCATTGATTTCTCCCTCTAATATTTATGATCTTTAGAAAATGTTACTGCTGGTTGTTATGGGCATTCCATATAATACACAATATTAAAATAATAAAGTTATAAAACTGGAAAGAAGTTTAGATAATTTAACTCTCTCTTTTTATAGTTGAGGAAACGGCATCAGAAAGTCCTTTTTAACATCCTAAATGACTACTGTGTTCTTGGACACTGCATACTATTTCATGAAAGAAAACTAGTGACTTCAATCTTCATGTTCTTTTAATGTTTGGGAAAACAATAACCTGGATTGACTTCACATTGAAGATGCCAATATCATGTGTGTATATAGAATATTGGCTTGTAGAATATTGAAATGCAAATCAATTAATAAAGTCCGTTGTATATAAAAGAAATTTCTACCATTAAATACTTATAAAGTTTAGAATGTTTGCAAAATATCTGTATGCAAAATATTTGCATAACCACAATTCCCACACTTTCTAATAATCGCATTTCTTGTTGAGAGTGGATAAAATATAAAGCACGTTTAGGCACTATGTATTTCATATACACTTGACGACACTGTACATTCTAAACATGCACTACTGTTATGGCAAAGAAAGAGAATACAATTTATATTTTTATCAGGGAAAAGATTAAGTAGGTGAAAAAGTCTGTTTCTTTGTTAAAGAGTAGTTGACTGATCTATGGATTTCTATGGGTCAGACCATGAGGGAAAACTCAAATAATTTTGCCTAATAAAACATACTGTTTCTAACATGTTCAGGGACTAATATGGCATAACATAAAAATACAAAATAAATTTTTAATTCTTTACTATAGGAAATAATAAAACAATAAAGGCAATGTAGTTTTTAGTGTGTCAGATGCATCATATATGATATAAGCTAGAGTCTGTGTGTTAGACAAAATTAAATATATATGCTGGTCTCTGCCCTTGGTTCCTGACACAGGGCTCCTAACATCCTTATAAATTCCCAAGGGATAAGAGCAAGAGGAGCACCTTCTGTTCCATGGAGGTGACTCTGAGTGGAGTCCTAGATGGTTCCTGGCCACAGAAAAGGCCAAACCATAACGAGAAGCTCTGGGTTTTCAGGCCTTACCCCGCTCCCCCCATTCTCCGGAGAGCAGGGCGGGTCTGGAAACGGAGTTGATAACTGGCCATGCCTATGCGAGGGGCTTCCATAAAATCCCAAGAGTACGGGGGTTCGGAGAGCTTCCAGTTGGATACACTTCAGGTAGTTAGGGTCAGAATTGAGTTAGTTTGTAGGACACCAGTTGATATCGCAGAGAGTTGCTGGGTGTGGGGGCAAAAAAATCTCCATACATTCTTTTGGTGGCCAGAAGTGAAGAAATGTTTTGTGTGAGTAGTAAAGGAGAAACACAGGAGAACTACAGGTTTTTTCACTTCACTGTTTCTCTCCCAGCACTCTTCACATGTGAGGGTCTTCCAAAAGAACCTAACTCTTCATAAACCTTCAAACCATTAGTCTTCTCCCTCCAAGAAAACATAAAGGCAACTTCTTTCTGCATTTGTAGTTTCTGTGCATATTGCCATCGAGATTCCATATATTTCTGGCACAATTCCATATATATCGATATATATTCCACACACACACACATATATATATATATATATTCCACATATATATATTCCATATATATATATACCACATACATATTCCATATATATATTCCACATATATATATTCCAGAGAGGAAGGGAGAGGGAAAGAGAGATGGAAACATCAATGATGAGAAGACATCATGGATCAGCTGTCTCCTGCATGCCCCGCCCTGAGGATCCAGCCCCAACCTGGCATGTGCCTTGACGGGGAATCCAACCTTGATTCCTGGGACATAGGTGATGCTTAACCATAGCTGAGCCACGCCTGCCGAGTTGGCATGATTCCATTTTTAAGTGTTTCTAATGGAACGCACCCGAGAAAACTATCGAGGACCAGTTCGGTGAGTGGCCATCGCTTTATGACATTGTAAGTATTTATAAATAACTGAAGCGTACTTACCTTAGTTTCCCAGGGAGTTTAAAGTAAACAGGGCTATTGTTGTCTCCCCACCCCAAAACGTCAATAACTTATGAATCAGTCTCGGATAACTCCCAGGGCTCTTTGAGCCATAAGAACCGTTTGTTTACTCTAGCAGCAAAGTAGAGCTGTTAGCTTTCACGACGCAGTTCCCTAAAGCTCTGCTTAGGGCTTTTAAATATATAGTTATAGATTCCAGAGAGGAAAGGGGAGGGAAGGATAGAAACGTTGATGAAGACAGAATCACCCATGGGCCGCCTGCTGCTCGCCATCCCTCCAGCCGGCATCCGGGCATATACCCCACGGGGAACTGACCTCCTGGTTCATAGGTCAGCGCTCAACCATAGAGCCACAGCAGCCAGGTTTTGCTTGGGGCTTTTATCCCTCCTTCTGGCCGTTTTCTCCCAGAGGCCCAGATGCAAGTGCCCTGCTTTGTTGCTGAAGAACTTTGGGGACAGCCCGCGGACTCTTCCCTCCTGGGCTCCGGATGGGTTGTGCACTCAACGCAGAGGCCTTGGAGACCTGAGTCAGAGCGCACAGCTGTCCCAGGCAGAAACTCGTTTTTTAAGAAAAACAAACAAACATCTCTCTCTACCCCCACCCCCACCCCTAAACAACAGAGGCTCTCAAGCTTGCACCTGAGGCCATCCCAGGGTCTCTCTCGCCCCCATTGAGTCATGTATTATTTTAAGAACAAATGTACTGGCTCAGTCAATGAAAGAGAAACACCACATGACCTCACTCATTTATGGATAATAACATTATAAACTGATGAACAAAAAGATAGATACAGAGACAGTAAAGCAACAAACAGACTGTCAAATTACAGTGAGGAGGGCAGGGAGATATGGGGGAAATAAGGGATCAACCGAAGGATTTGTATGCATGCATATAAGCAAAACCAATGGACGAAAAACTCTGGGGAGGGAGCGCATGTATGGGAGTCGGGGGGGGGGGCGGGCAATGGTAAGATATGTACACATATAATACCTTAATAAAAAAATAAAAAATAAAAATTTTGGGCTCTCAAAAGAAATTTCAATTGTTGTACTGTTGATATCTGACTCTGTTGACTAATGAGTTTGCGGACCACTGGGTTACAGCATTGTCCCTATATGTTAAGGTAGTGGGCTTGATCTCCATGAGGCCACATATAGGAATCAACCAATAAATGCATAAATGAGTGGAACAACAAATCAATCTGTCTCAAATCAATAAAAAAATAAGAAAAGAATAAAACAAAATGGTTACAATAAAAAAAAAAAAGAAGGAATGTAAATTGAACATCGATCTCCACAAACAACGTCATTCACTTCAATATTAAAACTCCACGCATGCATTTCTTCATCCCAGCTGCACCGCCAAGCTCGCATTGCTGGGTGCGGGCTGGGGCGCCCCAAGGGTCCCCCGAAAGGGTCCAGCCCCAGAGGCGGGGCCGGAGGCGCGTCCTCCCTGGACCCCGCCCCCCAGCCGCCTCCTCGGAAGGAGTGGAGTCCGCGGCTTCTCTGAACCCCGAGTCCCAGCGGAGAGTCGGGGTGCCCATGGCCCAGGTCCCACGCCCCGGGGGCCCCTTCGCGCTGCCCGCGGCGGGGGCCGGGCACAGGCTGCGGCGGGCGGCCGCCGTCCTGGCGCACCTGTGCGGCCTGGCCCTGCACATGAAAAGGTAACAGCCCCGGCCCAGCTGCCCCTTCCCAGGGGGCTGCCCTCCCGAGCTGGTTCCGAAAAGCAGCGGGACCAGGCGGCTCCTGGGGCAGGACCCCCAGAGCCTGTTTTCTCCTCGAATTTGCTGTCCTCCCTGGGGCAGGAAGTTCTCTGTCTGCCTTCTTCTCCTGGGAACCTGTGAACAGGTGTCAGCTGTGAACAGGTGTCAGCTTGGTTTACAAAACCAGGAGACAACCCGAGGAAACGCCTACGTTGTTCCATATTTGCCTCTGGAGAATGCAAACACCAGAGAGGTGGCCCCCTGAGACTATGATTGTAAATGGGTTGTAACTGTCTGGGAACTATGATGCTTGAGGAAGACTCTGGTTTCATGATTGGGGTCACACAGCATAGGCGAGAGAGGGGTGTTAGTGTTAGTTGTGGTTTTTCTATGGTGAGCTAGATGAAGAACCCATCTGAGGAGGGTTTACCACAGAATTAATAACAGCTGATGTTGAGGAAAACCAGGAAGTTTGATCTTGCTTGATTGCGAACTTGAGGAAAATGCCATGTAACATGGATGTGTGTACCTGTCTAGCCAGTGACCTAGGTGTGGAATCTTTGGGTTACCCTTAAGCAATATTGAGGCAAAAATGCCACTCCTGGGTGCCCAGCTGTGTTGGCAATAAGGCAACTGGTATGGGCACCTCTGAGGACACAAAAGTAGCAACGAAAATAAAATTTAACTATTTATTGAGCATTTGCTATGTGCCATGTGTGATTCTAATTGCATATGCTGTTAATGTAAAGTGCTATTCTGGGTGCTTTCATACACTATTCGGTTTTGACACGCGTTTGAACTGGCTGCTGTCGTCCGTCCCATTTCATAGGTGAGGAGACGGTAAAGAGCTGCCCCACTCTCCAGCTGCTGTGAGTATAGGCTGCCAACAGCTCAGAGCATTGCCTTTGCTGATGGAAGGTGTCTTGCCAGAATATGCTCAGAGGTTACACCCCAAGGCTCTCAGGGGTGGTCTGTGGCTAAGGGATGATTTGATATGGGGGTACCTTTCTACCTTAGAGGGGAGGACTGCAACTGGGCCCATATTTTTGCCTTGCTTCTTCCTTTTCCCTGTCCTGCTCACATTACTTCCTTGCAGTTCTCACCTGAGAGCCTTACGTCGCACAAGAACCTTCATCTCAGGCTCTGCTTCTATGAACCCCAACCTAAGTTAACGACTCTGCTATAGTACGTTGTGAAATGTACTATAATAGCACTTTACATTAACAGAATAGCACTTTACATTAACAGCATATGCAATTAGAATCACACATGGCACATAGCAAATGCTCAATAAATAGTTAAATTTTATTTTCGTTGCTATATAGTTTTATTCTTTATTCACTAGAGATTTCTTTCTATGGAAAGACAAGCAACTGACTGATTTCAAACATATATCAGATGACTTTTTCTTCTGGTTAACAAAGTGAAGTACATATGGAAGCGATGCTGCTAAAATACTGCCTTATTTATGTGAGGGATTTGACAGAATGTCTTCCCTGAAGTCCCGTTTGGCCAAGAAAACTCTGTTCCTACCAGAGTTAGGAAGTTAGCCAGAGAGGGTGATAAGTATTTGCTCATTGGTTTCTTGATTAATGAAACTGATTATAAGAGGGATATATGTTAATACAGACATCCCCCTGAGCTCTTGCAAGTTTGATTCCAGGCCACTGCAATAAAGCAAGTATTGTAATAAAGCCAGTGGTGGGTCTTACCTTCAATTTGTTAAAAGAAAAAAAAAATCTGTATAGTAAAATACAGTGAAGAGCAATGAAATGAGGAAAGCCTGTTTTGTTTTTAACACCTTTATTCAGGTATAACTGACATAGTGGAAGTATATATTTTGCTAAACTGATTTAGATATATACTCATAAACCATCATCACAATCAAAATACTGAAAATACCTATCACTCCCTAAAGTTTCCTCAGCCCCTTTGGAGTGCCTCCCATCCCAGCCCCAAGCAACCACTGGTCTGCTTTTTGTTGCAGTAATATATGGTTGAAAACCTTTAGAGATCCTGAGTGTCAGTCACCCAGTAGTTGAACAAGACTGAGCTCAGAGCATTTGGGGATTTCCATGGGTCCGATCAAGAGGTGAAGTGACTGGGACCAGCTGCCATCTGCTCATGGGAAAGGAAATGGATACAAAGCTGGACTCGAATGACAGCTTTGACATCCAACGCACAGATTCCAGAGCACGTGGCAAATTCAGATGAGGTTCAGGCAACTCTTGGGATTGAGGTCCTCTGCAGTTTTGTTACAGGCTAAAGGAGACACCGAGGGAATGAAATGCACAACCAAATAAAATATGCAAAAACAAAACAAAACAAAACCCTCACCACCAACATCTAGAATTCCAAGGCTGGCATGAGAAAGGGAATCTCCTACTAGCTGGGGCAGCTGATTTCTGTCCTTCAAGTTCACTCTCCTCTTGGTCTTCTTATTGGTCACTCCTGGCTATGGGAGACATACTCTTTAGCTCAAGTTTGCTTATCTCATAGTCCAGATCAACATGGTTAGAATGTTCTGAGACACCTTTGAAGGTTCTGACAAAAGCAATAGAGTGATAACACAGCGAGAACCATCGTTCTAGATAATCTGGTATTTAAAAAGTTTCCTCATATTTGATTTATGGTCCTGCTCAGCTTCTACACGGTCTCCCATGCCTGGAAACCCGCTTCATCAATTCCTAGTAGCCACATTAAAAAAAGGTTGAGGTGAGGAAAAACCGGTAAAATTATTTTTAATATTTTTTCACCCAATATCTCCAAAATATCATTTCAACAAGTAATCTATAAAAATTACTAATGAGATATTTTACATCCTATTTTCATACGAAGTCTTTGAAATCCAGTGAGTATTTCATACTTATAGCACACATCAATTTGTACTAGCTACATGTATAATACATATTGGACAATACAAGTCTAGTCAGAGCATTATGTCCTGAATAAAAAATTAACCAAGTGTTCTGCAGGGAGTAGAGGAAGAATTTGAGTGTTATTTTTACAAACTTAGTTTGTAGTACTGGTAGGCAATCCTGTGGACAGCCTTTGGGATAATAGACTTTGGGGGGGAAAAATCTATCAAGACAAAGCATTTTGCAACTTCATTTTTCAGAGCAAAATATAATAACATCCACAGTAAGCTGCAAATTTTGCCTTGTTTTTTGAATCCATACCTTAGAGTTTTCCCTGGATACATAACTTGCAAGTTAACCTGTATATATTCTACTCCAGCTGATTTATCTCCACATTAGCTTTTTTTTTCTTCACATTTTCTCTATCAAGTAAATACATATATATATATATATATATATATATATATATATATTTATATTTATCATTTCTCCTTCAGGTATATTGAAAAGAGTCAAGCAAAAGAATGGGCACTATTTTACTTGAGCATAAAGAATCATTCAGCTAATGAACTATTATTTGGCATAAGCAATTATTCTAAATATAGCTTGGTAAGTATTTTTGTTTGCATTTTAATAGCTGTCTAGTTTTAAGACCATCAAAATATGTAATATCTTTTAAAATTCTGTTTAATTATAAAGTAATAAATAATAACATGCTGGGAAAAGGTTTTTAAAAAAGGTGACTATACTCAGTATTTCAAGAATATGGGAAAATACAGTTTCATTCATTCATTGATGGTGGGAATGTAAATTTCTACAGGTATTTTAGAGGGCAACTTGAAAATATGCATTAAAATTAAAGATGAGCATAACTTTGCCTCTGCGATTCCAGTTTTAAAAACTTACCCCATGAGAATGATTGGATAAATGCATACATTTGCATGTGCAAGAATACTTATCTTATTGTTTATAATTTAAAGAAAGGAAACAAGTTATATTTCAACAATTATTTATTTGGTGTTATCTCTGCTGAGCACTGACTGTAGTAGGTACAGGGTTACAACAATTAGTCATATATAGTTGATTCCCTGCCCTCATATAGCTAGGAAAGAAGACAGTCAACTAAACATTTGTTGAGTGCAATACTAATGGTGTAGACTGTGGCTGAAGCATAAATGAGGGGAGCTAAACCCAGAATTGGGGAGGCAGTGAAGACTTCTTGGAAGAAGTGATATCTAAATTTGGTGCTGATGGGTAACTGGCTAAATACATATTATGAAGTATCATGTGATGGAGTATGATGCACCTATTAAAATGATGATGTACAAGTGGAAGTAAGTAGGTAGTAGATCACTGAAGAAAAACATCAGGTCACAAAACAGAATAGTTTATTTTATTTTTGTAAAATGGTATGTTTCTACATGTGGGCATATATGTGTATAATATATATATATATATATATATATATATATATATATATATACATACATATATATATATATATCAGAATAAATCTAAGAGTATATTGGGTCTATATTTAGATTCCAATAATCAGGTATGAAATGTAAAAAATAAATTGATATCAAGAAATAGGAGGGAGGTTATACTTTTTTTTTATGTTAAAGCCTGAGACCTGGGATACAAAGTTAAAGAAAGATACTGTATTGAGATAAACTCAACTGGGTTGTATTTCAGCCCATAGCATAGCCCTCAACCAGTAACACTATTTTGAAACTTAATTCCCTAGATAAAAAGGAAACAAATACTGACACTCTTGTATAGGTTCATTGAGTCTGGTGAATGTGATCTCTATTCATTTGGATTGACATGAGATTGAATTACATTCATGAGGTGACTCATACTCATTAACTCAAGAAATAACTTTTCAGCACGCAAACTCTCAATTTGTTATAATGGTCTTGTTGTCTTAGTTATAATCAAACATGTCTATCAATATTATGGCCAGTGCATTCCACACTTGGTGCTTCAATTGTTTTAAGCAAATCTGTTTCTTAAAGTAACAACAACAAAGTTAATTTGTAAAGTTAAAAGTCAATATTATGCAAACATAACACTCAGTGTTCCTAGGCTATTAATCCTGTCCAAATTTTTAGGAGAGATTGTGTCCATGGGGACAGGTAGGATGCATTAAATGTAAGTACACTTTGTTTTACAGAGCAAAGATTTTGAAAAGCTGAGAACATTGTTGCTCATTCAACCTAATCAAAGAAGCCAAGAAAATCTCAGAGAGGTACATAAATAAAAATTTTCTCTGGTATATGATTATTCCAATGTATTCAATTATGCTTTTCTTCTATGAATTAAGCAAATATAGGTTAACATTATAAAAACATTATGCCAAATTATTTTTCTTATTTTCTACTTTCCAATCCTTGCTTAATTTTAGAGTTTTAGAAAAACAAAATGGGGTTAAGTAAAGATGGTTGGAATAGTTATATATTTTTATACATACATCTAGTGAAACTGTTCTTTCATTTACTCATACATTGATTAAAGAAATTTTAATCATCGAGTCCCTATTGTGTTATATTTGTTTGAAGTGTGTATTTGTGATAAATAATTGATTTTGAATATAAATGAATTTATTTAAGCCTATGAAAATGTTTTCCATAATTTTAATTTACTAATCTTTGAATGAATTTCAGCAACCCATTATGTAGATATGAATTTCTTCTGTCTTTAAGAGATTAGGTAGTCCTTCTCTGCTTCAGTTAAAATTTTAATGTGCTTACGTAAATTGAATGTACATTTCTTGTTTTTTAGCCTCTAAAGAATGTTTTGTATACCAGCTACAAAGTAAAAAGAGATATTGATTTTAAATATTTTAAAATATAAAGCATTTCAGAGTATCCTAAAAAAAAAAAATAAGTGTTGTATTACAAGTGTAGTCATCATCTTTGGCATCAGACATTTCTAAAAGTCAATGTTTTCTATACTTGGGACACTATCTTGAATCCACCAATATCATTAAATATCATGTCTATGTAAGTTCTTGTGACTGTGAGCTGAAATCCTTGTGTGGGTCCAGACAGTCCTCAACAGTGAATGTACAACTTGGGGGGAAAATGGTATAGACACATTTAAAGTAAACGTATCTTTTTCATAGAACCTATTTTAAGTAGAGAACTGGGTTCCAGAAGGTATAAAAAGAGATACTATATTTATTCAACTCATTATGAATCATATGCATACTATCAAGTATACAGCTTTCTTGAGTATACATAAGGCAATTAAATGGCATTCAATTACCAAGCACTTTCAATTTATACCAGAAGTTTTCCAGGGTCAAAGAAGTGCTGGGAGTGGAGGGTGAGTGGCTTTCAGAGTCAAGAGCTAAGGGCAGGACATCTTACACAGTAAGAAGCATGCTGGTTCCTAGCCATTGCTGCCCCATGAAACCCATGTTTGAAAGGTCTTTATCTCCTAACAAAAATCATTTATTAATAGTTAATTTATCTGCCTGCTTTCTAAAATTAAAGATATATATATATAGATATATATATATATATATATATATATATATATATATATATATATAACTGTCAATCAGCACTTTTGTTCATGCTGAGCTGACATGAATCCAGCTGAAGCAAGTAAGTTATATGTTATCCCAAGTTACTTTATTGCAGGTAAATTAATGACCTCATTACCACTTTTCAAAATACTGAAAATTCAAAAATTCCTTCCCACCCTCAGACCCCCCTTTTATTTCTTCAAGGAGATCTAGAGTTGACAGACTGGAAATCTTGTTCTGCATGTTGTCAAAAAGAGGCTGACAGGAGTGGATAGTTTTATTTTGAATCCGAAAGGAACAATTGTCAGTTCAGGGAATAAAAATTACTATAATCTAGGGATCTTTTCTGCATTGCCCTAAAGGTAGGTGCATATTTCAATGCTAATTGCATTTTAGGTAAAGAGGAAGCACTAGGCGGAATATATGTTCTTTATGCTTTATTAACCTTTCTGCAAAGTGCCAATTACCACCAACTTCCATTTGCTTCATCTCACCTCAGACATCCCAAACAGTAAACCTCTCACTGGTGCGAACCTGTATCCATGATGCAGGGGCCTGAGAGGAGAAAGATTGAACTGGGGCTGATTCTCCTTAATCTACCCCGGGGTCTGCAGCTGAGTAACAACCAGATAGTTTCCTCAGCCAAAGTCCTGGGAGATTTTAGTTTGGGAAACTTGGACATTGGAAATGCATAGGTAAATAGTAACAACTGTTCACTGCTGATTTATTTTTATTTTTGGCTTCAGTCATCTGGGATTGAGACCCATTTATTTTAAGTTTCTAAGTGTAACCTCTGTGTTTAGCTGAAGCTAGTTTTGTTTTTTTTTTTAAACTTTGAGAATTTTAGACTTACAGAGGACTTGCATGCTCTCTACCCAACTTTCCTTAATGTTAACAGCTCACAAAGCCATGATATAATAATCAAAACTAAGAAATTAAGATTGGTTCAACAAATACTATTAACTAAATTATAAACTATCTATCAATTTATTTTTAATCCTCACTGAGGATATGATTATTGATTTTAGAGAGAGGAAGGGAGAGACAGACAGAGAGAGAAACATCAATGTGAGAAACAGCCATCAGTTGTCTCTCATATGTCCCTGGGGGGGTCAAACCTACAACCTAGGTATGTGCCCTGACACTGAATTGAACCAGGAACTTTTTCAGTGTACGGGACGATGCTTCAACCAACCAAGCTACCAGGCCAGGGATAAACTACAAACTATTTAGATTACCCTGCTTTTTCTATGAGATGTCGTTTTTCTATTTCATTATTTAAGCCAGGATACCACACTACTCTCATTGTCATGTGTTCTTAGTCTTCAATCTGGGACAGTTCCTCCGATTTCCTTGTCTTTGATACCTTGATGCTTTAAAAAAATATTTTTATTGATTCCAGAGAGGAAGGGAGAGGGAGAGAGAGATAGAAGCATCAATAATGAGAGAGAATCATTGACCACTTGTCTCCTGCAAGCCTCACATTGGGGATTGAGCCCATAACCCGGGCATGTGCCCTGATCAGGAATCTAACTGTGACCTCCTGGTTCATAGGTCAATGCTCAACCACTGAGCCATGTTGGCTGGGCTACCTTGACACTTTTGAAGAGTACTGGTTCAGTGTTTTGCAGGATGTCCTTCAGTTTGGTTTGTCTTTTTTTCATGATTAGACTGAGGTTAGATTATGGGCTTGTGCTATCAATATCTTATTACTTTGCTAAGGTGGTGCCTGCCAGTTTCTCTACTTTAAATTTACCATTTTCCTCTTTCTGTACTCTGTCCTTTGAAAGTGAATTGCTAAGCCCAGCCCAGAGAGATTGTAGATGTATGTTACAATTGTCACACTTATTAATAAAAATTTGATGGGAGGTCCTTTTAGGAAATGTATATACCCTGTTTCTCTTTAAGGTTTTACTCACTAATTTTAGCATTCGTCAGTGGATCTTGCAGCAGTTATTACTTTGATACTCTAATGATGATGTTCTATTTTCCCATTGTATCTATATTTATAATTCTTCTGTAGAAGAATTGCCTCTTTTCATTCATTTATGTGTATTTATATCAGTACGAGAGGCCCAGTGCATGGATTCGTGCACCAGTGGGGTCCTTAGCTTGGCCTGCACCCTCTCACAATCTGGGACCCCTTGGGGGATGTCAGATAGCCAGTTTCAGCCTAATCCCCACAGGCCCGATCCAGACAGGAGGGAGCCCAATCCTGTGCATTGAGTGTCTGTCCCCTAGTGGTCAGTGCACGTCATAGTAACCAGTTGACCAGTTAGGTCATTTGATTGCTTAGATTTTTATATATATAAATGGTCTAATGAATATTTATTGACTTATAGGTATTTATTTTATTCTTTGAGTTATAAATAGTTACTATCATTGTTCACAATATTGCTCAAATTATTCCAGCTCTAGCCATCAGGAATGTTGACTAGGTGTTCTTTTGACAAATTCACACTTTTATTTATTTTTTAGCAATAACTTTCTGGCATTGTAAGATGCTCCAGGTTTATCTTGTCTCTTCCATACCCTTGCCCCAAAACCAGCCATTTCTTTGAGAAGCACGGAGTCTTTTATTGCAGAATGAGATTTAGAAATCAAAATCTGCCCTCTAATTGTTCTTATTGCAACTTGAAAGTCATTGTTTCTAAGCCTTCTTAGCACATAGAGCCAGCAAGTGTTTGTATGTATACTAACCTATGTATCTACATTCATTTATGCATATATCAATATGTAGGTAGATTAAAATAAACATTAGGTCATATTGACATCTCCAACTCCAGTCTATACCATGGCGTTTATTCCAGCATTCCCCTTTTGCTTGTTTATAGCATCTTTCTCCCAAAACACAAACCTGGCTGTTATTATCTACAATATACTTACCTTTTTGTTATATATGTGAAGTAATTTCAGAATTGTTAACCTGAACCCCTATGAGATACATAGTTACTAACTCAAGTGCATTGTTTTGTCTTTAGCCTTAAAAAAATATATTTTATTGATTTTTTTACAGAGAGGAAGGGAGAGAATAGAGAGTTAGAAACATCAATAAGAGAGAAACACCGATCAGCTGCCTCCTGCACACCCCTCACGGGGATATACCAAGGTACATACATGCCCTTGACTGGAATTGAACCTGGGACCCTTCAGTCCATAGGCCGACACTCTATCCACTGAGCCAAACCAGTTAGGGCTGTCTTCAGCCTTTTGCATTTAGCCCTACAGTTTTAAAACTTTGTTTTTCAAAGTTATTTATCTATAAAACCATTGGCAAGACCACTGTTTTTCTTCTAGGAGCCTTACAGCTTCAGGTCTTACATTTAATTTTTAATCCATTTTGAATTGATCTTTGTGTGTGGTGAAGGATAAGGCTCTAATTTCATTCTCTTGCATCTGGATATCCAGTTTCCCTACACTGTTTGTTGAAGAGACTATCCTTCTCCACTGTGTATTCCTGTTGAACATCAGTTTACCACACATGTGTGGGTTCATTTCTGAACTCTCTATTCTGACCCATGCCTGTCTCTATTCCAATATCATACTGTTTTTTCGGTAACTTTATAATATATTTTGAAATCGGAAAGTGTGTTGCCTCCAGCTTTGTTCTTTTTTCTCAAGGCAGTTTTGGCTATTCTGGATCCCTTGTGGTTGCATACAAATCTTAGAATTGTTTTTCTATTTCTGTAAAGAATGTCATTGGGATTTTGATAGATTGCATTGACTCTATAGAACGCTATGGGTAGCACAGACATTTTAAGAATATTAAGTGTTTCAGTCCATGACGAGATGTCTTCCCATTTGTTTGTATCGCTTTTAAATTCTCTCATCAATGTTTTATAGTTTTCAGTGTACAGATCTTTCACCTCCTCAGTTGTTTATTCCTAAGTATTTTATTCTTTTTGATGCTATTGTAAATGGGATGCATTCCACAACAACATTGATCTTGGCTGTTATTTCATGGATGTACACTAAAGCCACAAGCAACAAAAGCAAAAATAGACAAATGGGACTACATGAAGTTAAAAAGTTTCTGTAGAGCAAAGGAAACAATCATCAAAATAAAACGACAGGCCTGGTTAGTGTGGCTCAGTTGGTTGAGTATCATGTGTACAGAGGGGTTGCAGGTTCAATTCCTGGTCAGGGCATAAGCACAGGTTGAAGGTTTGGTCCTGTCGGGGTGCATGCCAGAGCAACCGATTGATGTTTTTCTCTCTCTTTTTTTCTCTTCCTCTCTCTCTCAAATCAATTCAAAAATAATAAAATAAAATAATATCTCCCAAATAAAAATAAAAACTAAATAAAATGACAACCTATGAAATGGGAGAAATTATTTGCAAACCATTTCTCTGATAAGAATTAATATCTAAATATGTAAGAAACTGTTCAAACTAAATAGCAAAACCCAAATAATTTAATTAAAAAATGGGAAAAGGAATGGAGAAGACATTTTTCCAAAGAAGGCATACAAATGGCCAACAGATATAGGAAAAGATACTTAAGATCACTAATCACCAGGGAATTGCAAATCAAAACCCCACAGTAAAATATCAACTTATACCTGTTAGGATGACTATGATTAAAAAAAAAAAATCAAAAGACAACCTTATAAAGGGATGAATTTCTGATAGATAAAACAATATGATGAATTTTGAAGACATTATGCTGAATTAAGTAAACCAATCACATAACAAATACTTCATGGTTTCATTTATATTAAGTATATAAAATAGCCAAACTCACAGTGGCAGAGAGTAGAACAGTGGTTGCCAGAGACTTGGGGAAGAGAGTAGGGAGAACAATTACTTACACAGAGTTACAAGTGGGATGGTGGAAAAGATTTGAAAACAAATGGTAGTGATGGGTGCATAACAGTGTGAATGTTATTAATGCCAATCTACCGTACACTTAAAAATGGTTAAAATCGGCCGAAACCGGTTTGGCTCAGTGGTAGAGCATCGGTCTGCGGACTGAAGGGTCCCAGGTTCGATTCCAGTCAGGGGCATGTACGTTGGTTGCAGGCACATCCCCAGTAGGGGGTGTGCAGGAGGCACCTGGTTGGTGTTTCTCTCTCATCGACATTTCTAGCTCTCTATCTCTCTCCCTTTCTCTCTGTAAAAAATCAATAAAATATATATTTTAAAAAAATGGTTAAAATCGCATAACATTTTTTGAAAAAGTATGCTCATAACATGCAGGAACTCTAACTTAAGATTTTAAGCACTCTAAAATTCCAAGTTTTTAAATTTAGTAGTTATTGCAGAAAACTTTTATCTAGCAAGTCAGAAAAGGAGTCCTTTTAGTTAGTCAAGCATTTCTATCAATAGTAAATTAAGTCTGTACATTACAATCACCCAATTTCAAAGAATTAAAATAAAACATTAACACAATGCTATACTTATTTAGAAATTAGATGGCATTGTAATTTTTTAGTAATGAAAAAGAACTTTTAAAGATAGTTGTTACAAATGTTAACAGGTGAATGGCTAGAAAAATTGATATATCCATGCAATGAAATTCAAATGGGCCATAGAAAAGAACAAAATGCTGGTGTACATAAGACAAGGATGATCGTAAATGCATTTTGCTAAGTGAGAAATAAAAAGAAGTGTACAATGTGATTATATTTATATAATTTTGTGGAAGGCAAAACTATAGAGAAAGAAAGTAATTGGCAGCATTGAGAGTCTGGGAAGGGGTACCTAGAATTGGGATTGCTGGTTGGTATGATAATTCTATAGCTTTTTTAGTACCTGCCAAACTGTTTTCCCACAGCAATTACACCAGCAGTGCCCAAGGATGTGAAGTGGTATCTTATTGTGGTTTTGATTTGCATTTCCCAGGTGACTAAAGATGTTAAGCATCTTTTTATATACTTATTGGCCATTTGTACGTCTTCTTTGGGAAAATGTTTCTTCAAATCCTTTGCCCATTTTTTCATTGGCTTGTCTTTTTGTTTCTGAGTTGTAAGAGTTCTTTTTGTGTTCTTGATATTAAACCCTTGTCAGATATGATTTGCAAATATTTTCTCCCATTCTATAACTAGTCTTTTCACTTTCCTGATACTCTCCTCTCATGCAAAAAGTTTTAAATTTGATGAAGCCTAATTCTTCATTTTGCTTGTGATTTTGTCGTCATATCTAAGAATCCGTCACCAAATCCTAGGCCATGAAAACTCCTTTGTTTTCTGGTTTAATCATTTTTAGGTCTTATATTTAAATCATTGATCCATTTTGAGTTAATCTTTTTACATGGTATGAGGTAGGGGTTGTGAGAATATCTTTGTTTTCAGACCCTTTAAAAATGCAAACATTTTAAAGATTTAGTAGCCACGTCACAATTCCTTTTCAAAGATGCCAGGCAGATGCAATATTAATGCACAGTAAAACCAAATACTTTGAAAAAGAGAAAAAGGCAAAGTCACCAATTATCCGAGAGATGCAAATTAAAACAACAATGCGGTACCATCTCACACCTGTCAGAATGACCAACATCAACAAATCAACAAACGACAAGTGTTGGTGAGGTTGCGGAGAAAAAGGAACCCTCGTGCACTGCTGGTGAAAATGCAGACTGGTGCAACCACTGTGGAGAACAGTGTGGAGTTTCCTCAAGAAACTGAAAATGGAACTCCCATTTGACCCAGTAATCCCACTTCTAGGAATATATCCCAAGAAACTAGAAACACCCATCAGAAAGGATATATGCACCCCTATGTTCATAGCAGCACAATCTACAATAGCCAGAATTTGGAAACAGCCTAGGTGCCTGTCAGCAGATGATTGGATCAAAAAACTTTGGTACATCTACACAATGGAATATTATGCTGCCATAAAAAAGAAGGAATTCTCATCATTTGCAGCAACCTGGATGGAATTGGAGAACATCATGCTGAGTGAAATAAGCCAATCAATGAAAGAGAAACACTACATGACCTCACTCATTTATGGATAATAAAGAACATTATAAACTGATGAACCAAAAGATAGATATAGAGACAGTAAAGCAACAAGCAGACTGTCAAATTGCAGTGGGGAGGGGAGAGAGATCTGGGGGAGATAATAGATCAACCGAAGGACTTGTATACATGCATATAAGTACAACCAATGGACATAAAACTCTGGGGAGGGAGGGTATGTATGGGAGGGAAGGAAGGGGGGCCAAAAAAATCAATAAAATATATTAAAAAGAGAGAGAGAGAGAGAGAGAGAGAGAGAGAGAGAGAGAGAGAGAGAGAGAGAGAGAGAAAGGCATGTTTGAACTTCTTACCTCTAATATCTTCCAATGAAGGACTTTCAGATACAATCAGATTTTATTTTTATGGTCCCTGGTTTTTACTGCATGTTTTGCTAGACAAACTAAATTCTAAAGGATTCCTTATCAACTTCTTCACAGAGGCAGGGTCCTAACATGGGATTTCATAAATGCTGGAAAAGATCATCTTATTGCGTTAGTGTTTCCTTTACTTCCATAGGAGAATTTTTGCTATATTAAAACCATACCAAATTCTCACAAATCCATATATGGAATATTTTAATTACCAACATCTACCATATAAGAAATGGCTCATCTTTGCAGAACACATAAAATCTACTCGTGTTTTGGTTATCAGAAATGCTGAACAGATCTGAACTAATAACAGAACAACATAATAATTTTCCTTTAGCCCTTTTCTAAGCTATTCTTCTCCCCCCCCCTTTTCATTTAAAGATTCAACTATATTTAAAGAAGAATAGGGCATTTCACAGTTTGCCAAAAGAAGTACAGCTCCAACTTTGCCAGACTTCAATCTATCAAGAGTAAGTGACACAGTCCCTAGCTGATTTTGGCTCAGTGGATAGAGTGTCCGCTTGCGGACTAAAGGTTCCCGATTTGATTCTGGTCAAGGGCACATGGACCGGTTTCGGGCTCGATCCCCAGTAGGGGGCATGCAGGAGGCAGCTGATCAATGATTCTCTCTCATCATTGTTTCTATCTCTCCCTCTCCCTTACTCTCTGAAATCAATTTAAAAAAAAAAAAGTATTTTTTAAAAAAGAGTAAGTGACACAAAAATATTCCTTTGGGCCTTAGCAGTCCCTTAGGAAAGGCAGATAGTATGCTTTGGCTGGTGTGTTCAGTGGTTAGAGCAGTGGCCAGGGCAGATGGTGAATAAAATTTAACCAAACTCAGAGACAAAACACATGTTACAACTTGAATATTTACCAGAAGATATATGTAAAAGTTTGGGGTTAGTGCTTTGAACTCTAGTGTAATCATGAATTTTAAACCAACCTAAAGGAAACTATAATTGAAAATCAGATGAAGACAAGGCTTATTATAAGCAAAATGCCAAAATAATAAAATGAAGTGATTGGACTGTTCTAACAGCTCACTTATTTATCTAGAAAGAGGAAAATATGCAAAGTGTATTAGGTAAAGTACTCTAAACTTTATTGTAAGAGTCTGAAGTTTACATTTGCAACTAGGGATTGCCCAAAATCTTTTGAGGTTTATATTTTTATAGTGTTCCCTAATGTAAACCCTACCATCTTAATTAGAATACAAAGAAAGCAAAACAACAGTATAAAAAAACTTATCTTTTCCTGCTTCCCCTTTCTTTCAGCTTATGGACATATGATTTAGATAGCTCTTCATGTCATTTGAGGTGATGTTAATATGTTGTGGGGGGAAGCTTGGACACGGGCCATCTATTTTGCTGGTATAGATATTGGCAAAGACCACATGATTTTTTGTTGGGATATGGTGGCCCAATTTCCTGACTGTATGGTCCTGGGGTCTGCCCAGCATCTTCACCGGGTTTTCCTGGCAATTTGGCCTAGAAACTATTTAAATAACCTTTCTGAAGATTCTATAAGCTATCTAATACCTGTAGTAAATCCTTTCTTTCTCAAACCAATCAGAATGGATTCTGTTGTCCCATAACCATGATTATCTCATAACCATGTTTAATACAAGATTCATCATGTATATAATTCTTTCTTGGAAAAAGTTAACTGATGTAGTAATAACATGCAGTCTCATTTTAAAAATCATTATCCTATATAATAAAGATTTAATATGCAAATGGTCGTTATGTAATGACTGACCACATAACGACCAGACCATGGATCAGCAGGAGGGTGGGGCAGCAAACTACAAGTGGGCAGTGGAGAGCTTCAGGAAGGGGCAGGAAAGCAAGCTATGAAGAGGCAAGTGGTGGGGAGGGACTAAAGAGAGGGGAGCAGCAGGCAGAGAGCTACAGAAGGGCGGCAGCAGGCTACTGGTGCATGGATTCGTGTGCAGGGCTACTTGTTATTTATAAGTTTTAATGGATAATTATTTGTCATAAACAACAGTTCACTCATTGAAGATTGATAGTATTACTATTCAGATTTATCCTTTTCCATGAAGAATAAAAAACAAAAATGAATCAGTATATCTATAGTAATTAATAATGTTCATGGGCTCTTCTTAGATTTCAATATACAATATACATACATAGCTATGCCTGAATGTCATGGCATTAAATCTTTTTCTGTTCTTAATAAAAATACTCCAATTTCTGCATTTGTTAGGTTGGAGCAGTTGTATCTATGGGCTTAAAAAAAATCTTAAGGAAAATAATTTTAATCAAACTATAAATATTCGCAAGAGCTTTGAGTGCTCCGGAAGTATAAAATTAAATGTTTAAGCAGGAGAAGCCTATTCAGCACTGGCATGCCTTCACATCATTCAAATAGGCTATTGCAGAACCATCCTGGAGCTGCAATTTAATACTAGAGTACAGGCCCATGTGAATATTTTATAGCTTATTGTATGGGTGATATTCTTAAATTTTAATGCTCCCGAAGAAATGGGGAGCCCTGGAATCCTGTGTCAATGAGTTATAGAGGAGGCTGCTGATCCAATTAGCATAATGGGCATCTGGCAGCCAAGGGATGCACTTGAAAAGCTGGCTGCGAATGGTGGCCCTCAGCCACTTTCACAATAGAGAGGAGAGAAAACGGATTGTGGAATCATCCTGTTCTTTCTGTGAAGCGTTAAATCTGACTGTCTTGAATACCAGACTCTTTTCCCATTATAATGCCTGTCATCCATCTCTTCCCTTTGTAAGTCCTCCATTCCCCATGCTTCCCCTCTCTCTCTTTTCCATCACATCCTTATGATTGGCTCCATTCTCTGATGCTCTGGTATTCTTATTGACTATGCTCCTATTCTTAATTCATAGAAACCAACTACTATCTTGAAGATACTTCTATGATGCAGCAGTTACTTCAGCAATTTTTTTAAATATATTTTATTGATTTTTTTTGCCCCCCTCCCTCCCACACATCCCCTCCCTCCCCAGAGTTTTGTGTCCATTGGTTGTACTTATATGCATATATAAAAGTCCTTCTGTTGATCTATTATCTCCCCCAGATCTTCCTCCCCTCCCCGCTGTAATTTGACAGTCTACTTGTTGATATACTGTCTCTATATCTATCTTTTGGTTCATCAGTTTATAATGCTCTTTATTATCCACAAATGAGTGAGGTCATGTGGTGTTTCTCTTTCATTGATTGGCTTATTTCACTCAGCAAGATGCTCTCCAATTCCATCCAGGTTGCTGCAAATGATGAGAATTCCTTCTTTTTTATGGCAGCATAGTATTCCATTGTGTAGATGTACCAAAGTTTTTTGATCCAATCATCTGCTGACGGGCACCTAGGCTGTTTCCAAATTCTGGCTATTGTAGATTGTGCTGCTATGAACATAGGGGTGCATATATCCTTTCTGATTGGTGTTTCTAGTTTCTTGGGATATATTCCTAGAAGTGAGATTACTGGGTCAAATGGGAGTTCCATTTTCAGTTTCTTGAGGAAACTCCACACTGTTCTCCACAGTGGTTGCACCAGTCTGCATTCCCACCAGCAGTGCATGAGGGTTCCTTTTTCTCCGCAACCTCGCCAACACTTGTCTGTTGATTTGTTGATGTTGGCCATTCTGACAGGTGTGAGATGGTACCGCATTGTTGTTTTGATTTGCATCTCTCGGATAATTAGTGACTTTGAACATGTTTTCATGTGCCTTTTGGCCTTCCTTCTGTCTTCTTTTGAAAATGTTCTATTTAGGTCCATTGCCCATTTTTTAATTGGATTATTTATCTTCCTTTTATTTAGTTGTATAAGCTGTTTGTAGATGTTGGAGATTAAACCTTTATCAGTAGTATCATTTGCAAATATGTTCTCCCACACTGTGGGCTTTCTTGTTGTTTTGTTGATGGTTTCTTTTGCTGTAAAAAAGCTTTTTATTTTGATGTAGTCCCATTTGTTTATTTTCTCTTTAGCTTCCATTGCCCTAGGGGTAGTATCAGTGAAGAAGTTCTTTTGGCATACGTCTGAGATTTTGCTGCCTGTGGATGCTTCTAGTATTTTTATGGTTTCCCGTCTGATGTTTAAGTCCTGTATCCAATTTGAGTTTATTTTTGTGAATGGTGTAAGTTGGTGATCTAGTTTCATTCTTTTGCATGTGTCTGTCCAATTTTCCCAACACCATTTATTGAAGAAACTGTCTTGACTCCATTGTATATTCGTGCCTCCTTTGTCAAATATTAGTTGAGCATAGTGATTTGGGTTGATATCTGGGTTCTCGATTCGATTCCATTGATCTATATGTCTGTTCTTGTGCCAGTACCAGGCTGTTTTGAGAACAGTGGCTTTGTAATACAGTTTGAAGTCTGGTATTGAGATCCCTCCTACTTTACTCTTCTTTCTCAGGATTGCTGTGGCTATTCGGGGTCTTTTATTGTTCCAAATGAACTTTTGGAGAGTTCTTTCTAGGTTGGTGAAATATGTCATTGGTATTTTAATGGGGAGTGCATTGAACCTATAGATTGCTTTAGGAAGTATGGACATTTTGATGATGTTGATCCTACCAATCCATGAACATGGTATGTTCTTCCATCTCCTTACATCTTCCTCTATCTCTTTTTTCAGTGTCGTGTAGTTTTCCGCATATAGGTCCTTTACTTCCTAAGTTAAATTTATTCCTAGGTATCTTATTTTTTTTGGTGCGATGGTAAATGGAATTGCTTTTTTAGTCTCTGTTTCTGCAGTTTCTCTGTTGGTGTATAGAAAAGCCATGGATTTCTTGGCATTAATTTTGTATCCTGCTACATTGCCAAATTCATTTATTAAGTCAATTAGTTTTTTAATGGAGTCTTTTGGGTTTTTTATGTACAATATCATGTCATCTGCAAATAAGGATAACTTTACTTCTTCTTTTCCAATTTGGATGCCTTTTATTTCCTCCTCTTATCTAATTGCAATGGCTAGTAATTCCAGTACTATGTCAAACAGGAGTGGCGAGAGTGGACATCCCTGTCTTGTTCCTGTTCTTAGAGGGAATGGTTTTAGTTTTTGCCCATTGAGTATAATGTTGGCTGTGGGTTTATCATATATAGCTTTTATTATGTTGAGGTATGATCCTTGTACTCCCACCTTGTTAAGAGTTTTTTTCAGAAAATGGTGTTGGATTTTATCGAATGCTTTTTCTGCATCAATTGATATGACTATATGATTTTTATCTTTCAATTTGTTTATGTGATGTATCACATTTATTGATTTGCGGATATTGTACCATCCTTGCATTCCTGGAATAAATCCTACTTGGTCGTAGTGTATGATCTTTGTGATGTTCTTCTGGAGTTGATTTGCTAGAATTTTGTTGAGGATTTTGGCATCTATGTTCATGAGGGATATTGGCCTGTAATTCTCTTTCATTGAGTTATCTTTATCTGGTTTTGGTATTAGGGTGATGCTGGCTTCATAGAAGGAATTT